TCTTTCTTCATTAAAATCCTCTGACAATCTCTGTTGACTGGTACCATCACCTACTGCTGCTACCTCCGCAGAACAAAAGTCATCAGCCAACAAATGTTTTGTCCCTTCAATTAATTTCAAATTTCCATCGATAACCGTATCAACCCCTTGTTTATCTCCCCGTACCCATGCTTCAACCCTGTCCTGAGAGTCTGACACAGACTGATCACCCCACTGCTCATCCTGTCCCCGCTGGACATCCCGCTGGCTCCAGACCGGCGAAATCCCCTCCCGAGAAGCCACTGTTCCGTCATCTTCAGCCATATCCTCTAACTCCGGAAAAAACTCATCACTACCTTCCACCTTAATCTTAATCATGAATGACCTCCCATACGTATTTATAATGACATGGGGAGGAATATCAAAGGGACTTTCAACCCTCAATAGCATATAAGCTGCTCTACAATCCACTCTGTTAACAGTTTGTTCCTGTATCTTAACTAGCTTACCCAATTTCGACGCCAAGCTTGTGAAAAAAGGAACTGACCAACAATTAAGAGGAACTCCAATCATAGAAACTGCACAATAAGGTAATGGCACACCCTCTTCTTCCATAACGTGCTCCAACCTCTCGAACCAGAAGGACAAGGTCTCCCATTTGTTTTCCATCATTGCAACTTTCTCCTCAGCAGTCTGGAAAACTACCAGACAGGCTTTTTTTGCATAACCCCATTGAATCACTTTTACATTGATTCCTTCAGTCCTTAGCGCCCTCTGCACAAACTCAACTTCGAATAATGGCTTACAAATACCAGTTAACGACGATCTCAGCCATGATCTATCCTCCATTGGAATAAAGACTTCCAACTTCTTCTTCACCTCCTTCTTAGCTCCAAAACTCCCCGCTTTCTGGCCCTCAACTTCTTTTGCTCCCACAACCATCTCCTTATATGTCCTTCCATTGTGAAACTTATTCATCATCTCCTTCTTTCCAGTACCTGCAGCTTGAGATGATGGTAGTTTCCTGAGCAACCCATCTACACCAGCATCTGTAGGCCTCGCCCCACTAGTACGTTTGAGACTCCTCGAAATACTTTTCTTCTGATATTTGGCAATCGACACCAATATTCTCCTCCCATCGACTGAGGCGTTGTTCATCTTTTCAATTGCTAGATGCATATCATCTTTGCTAGCAAAATGCACAAAGGCAAAAGTACTATCCTTGTAATAAGGTCTCCTATTAACAAATGGAATGAACACCTTAATCACCTTACCATAATGACTAAAACGATCCCATAATACACTTCTGTGCACTCGCCTACTAAGATTATCCACGAATACAACCCACGATATTTCTCCAGGCGAAGACCTACTACTGACCGGACGAACAAGACCCTTCGAACTCTCCCTCAGTCTCTCTCTACCTTTCTCGCTCATAGTACTAATTACTGTAGATTTTTTTGGGCAAGTTACATTTGACATAGCAGTTGAATTGGTTGGGGCCACCTAAATAGAATTTGATTCTGTCTATTTGTACATGAATTGGTTTGGTCAATGAGCCGCAACCTCTGATTATTAGGTGAATGATCACTTTCCTTTTCATCTATAACTTCTATTGAAATTTCTATGTTTACTTCTTTATATGCTGCGAAGTTTTCAATTGTGCATATTTAAACTGCGATAATGTTTACTTCTTTGTTTATGGCAGGTTTTATTATGATGTGCCCTCAGCTTTTCATTAACTATAAGCTTAAATCTGTGGCACATTTACCCTGGAGGCAGATGACTTACAAGTTCCTCAACACCATCATTGATGATCTCTTTGCATTTGTCATAAAAATGCCAACACTTCATCGACTTTCTGTCTTCCGTGATGGTAAGATATTCTTACTTTTTTTTTTAAAAAAGAAAAAGAAAAAACCTTATGCATTGCTTGGTTTGGAGGATGCAAAAGAGAAGAGGAAAAGGTTTGAACCAATGTTTAAGCTACGAATAGGAAGGTGGTTATGAAATGTAACCATTACAATAAAGAAGTTTCCATCCTTTTCCCATTCCTCCATACCAAACAAGTATCATTTGTTTTGGATTTATAATCTTAACAGATACAAAGGGCAGAATGACTCATTATCTAATAATTTGTTTGATTTAGTAAGGGCAAATTAATGAAAGACCCTCAGTAAACCAGAATTTGAACACACGCATGCACGAAAGAAGTAAAAATAGAAACTTGCAACTCATAAACTTGGGATGTATACTTGAGATAAGTACTGGTATAACCTTTGTCTAATCATCCATTATATTTTTATAGCTATCACAGTGTTATTTGACCTTTAACACTTTAAAGCCTTGGATTTGAATGTATATAGTCGTGTAATAGAGAGATTGGGTACTTGTGATCACAAATACTGATCCTTAATAAATATATACATAATCCGAGTTCAAAGATCATTCTGTATTACACGTGTTCTGCCAGTATAGTGTATTCCATGGGGTGTAATTCTCATTCTCGTGCTTGTTTTGCAGATCTTATATTTTTAATCTATCTGTACCAGAGGTGGGTATATCCTGTTGATAAGAAACGGGTAAATGAATTCGGCTTTGGCGGCGAGGATGATCAGGTGCCTGGCAGTACAGATATTACTACTGCCAATGAAGATGAAAAGAAAACCAACTGAGCTTGGTTTGGGTGCTTCTTTTTCCCATTAGTTTAGCTTTAGCAACTCTGTAACGTAAAAACTTTATGACAGATACTTTTTGAAGTGGTTGCTTTAGAGATTTGGGTTGCAAAATCTTTCACCAAGGCTTGGTTCCTCTTCAGGATTGCAATAGAAATAACCTTGGCCTTAGATTTTTAGTACCATGTGAAGCTGTCTTCTAACATGGTTGTATCAAGACATCTTTTCCTTTTCTTTATGTTTATATATTTGATCAAATATTAAATTTGCTTGGTATTTTTTTTCAAATAGATGTTCAATTATTAAAATACTATAAATCAAGTCACCAGCCGGTAACAATTAATGAGATTATTGATGTCAGTTAAAAAATATATATAATTATATGTTTAATCTTCATTACTTATACATCTAGGATTAAATTAATAAAATGTGTAAGTAATGAGTATTAAATGTGTAAATATACCATTTTTAACTGTCATGACGGTAATTTCGTCAACTATTAAGAACTGATGGCTTGATTGATAGCATTTTAATAGTTGAGTGATTTAATTGATTTTTTTAGTTTGATGGTTAAACCATAATAGACTTTATAATTTAGTGACTATTTATGTAGTTTACCCATGAATAAATTACAATGATGATCTAAATAAGTTTTCGTTATAGAGTACTTTAAAAAAAAACATTAGATGTACATTCTATTTTTAAAAGAAACATCAAATGTACATTCAAAAATTAAAGAGGAGTTCAATTGTTATCGAAGGTGATGAGCAATGATAGTATTTGACGTGGTAAGAGGTTGTTGATAACAAGGGATATAGATTGAATTATGAGATCAAAATGATGTTTTATATAAAGTTTAGGGATTATATTAAAAATAATTATTTTATCTAAAATTTGGAGACTAATTTTAAAAATGATACTACCTAAAAGTAACGAGAGTTAATGATTAATAATTAAAATGTAAAAAATTGATAATGTAATAGATTTTTTTAATTAATAGATTAAAATTAGATAAAATTAAAATAAAGAGGATTTAACTCCTAATTTATTTAACTTCTATTGCAAAGTTTTAATACATTGAAAAAATAAAATTGATAATTCACCTAAATTTGGTGGGAATTTGTTTTTGTTTTTGTTTTTAAGCGGGCATTGGTCCATTTGGAGACACGGTTCGCATTAAATTGTAAAGTAAGGTACACAAATGATCAAGGATCCCTTGATTATAGATTTTATCGTTTCATTCGACTATTAAAAATTATAAAATGATCCATCGATTATATGACATTGTTTTGTTGAGTCTCTCGACTAGTAAAATGGTCACTTGGTTTTTCATATGTTCCAAATTCATATTTTTTTCGTTAAAAAGTTGACGACTGTGTGAGTTGGATGTTAACTTACTGACTGAGATATGATAAAATCATATTTCAATGATGTCTCCTGCCTACTCGCACTGTCGTTGCTTGCAAGCACTGACTTGACGACATAATGTTTCAAGAACTGGTTCGACGACATAATATAAATGGAAAATCGATCCATAAAATACATTTCAAATTGTTTTGAGATCAGATTTTATCATATCCAGTCAACAGGTTAATGTCCAGCTTAGACGACCGCTAACTTTTCAACAGAAAAAACGATGAGTTTGTAACATATGAATAGTCGTATGACAATCTATAACTTTTAACACTCGGAGGACTCGACAAAATAAAGTCCTATAGTCGAAAGATCGTTCTATAATTTTTAATAGTTAGATGACCCAATAAAGAAACACCTTATAGTCGGGATACCATTTATATGCTTTGCCCCAAATTGTATTGAAAATTTTAAATTTAAATTCCAACGAATAAATTACAAATTCAGTAATTACAAATCAACAATTCCCATGATCAAATTACTATTAATCCATTTTTTTATTAAAAAAAGCTGTTAAAGATGTATAAAACCCAAAATGTCACTCTACAATTTTATAAAAGGACAAATCAACTAAGTATAAGAGGGTGCCCCAAGTTGAAGAGAGTAATAGAGAAAACGGAAGAGGAGGAGAAGGAGGAATGAATGAAAATGGAAGAAATTTTAATTATTTTATTTTTTTTACATGTATTTTAATGTTTAAAAAATATTTATTGAATCCATATCATAATGACGTTAGAAAGTTAACGGTAGGGTAACTAAAATAATAAATGTATAAAGTTAATAATTAAATTAAAAAAATATTAAAATTAAAATAAATAAAATAAGAGAGAGTAAAGTTCAATTATTAAATTTGTAATTTATTCAATTCCATCGTACGTGAGAAATCGGAAAAAGGCGCCCTAAGAGGCCAAACCAGCTGAACCCATTCAAGTTCAGTTTACGCCGTCGAAGCATCTTCTCCTTTCATTCATGGCTTCCAGTTCCAGGTAACACTGTCTTACATCTATTAAACTGCCTTGTCTCTTTACCAAAAATGCTAAGAGTTTCAGCCCTTGCCATTGTCTATTTATACTAGCAGACGATTAAGGGCATTCAAGAGGTGGATGAAATCTCAAGGCATCGAATACAGCGACACGCTCGAGTTTATAGACTGCCCCGACCAAGGGATTTCAGTGAGAACATTATCTGATTTACACGAAGGCGATGTGGTCGCCAATATACCAAAGACCGCTTGCCTTACTATCAAGACCAGCGGGGCCCGGGAAATGATCGAGTCCGCTAGTTTGGATGGTCTTTTGGGTCTCTCCGTGGCTTTGATGTACGAAAAGAGCTTGGATCAAGACTCTCCTTGGGCTGGTTACCTTCAGCTTTTGCCGCCTCAAGAATGCTTGCCTTTGGTTTGGACTCTGGGGGAGGTTGATTCTTTACTCCCTGGGACTGAGCTGCATAAGGTATGATGTATCTGCTAACTGATGCTCTTCCCGTTTTTAGTGTTGGGATCTTGCTCTACTTGTTGATTGAGGATATAGAAAAAAAATCCCATTTCGGTAAAGAGTAATTAGAGAGGTTGGAATTATATATATATATATATATATGAACTGTATGTTGAAAACTTGAAATTACTTTTATGGAAATGGTTGAAATTTAAACAGAATGATACTTGAAATCATGATGCAATATATGATTTAGGAGTTGTTTTCTTTATTTTTTTTTTGGCTTCATTATTATTATTCTGCAAGTTTTCGCACTAGCACCTTGACATGATTCATGAGCAAAATATTTTTTCCCCTGGGGTATCATTTTTTTTAAAATAATTTGTTCTATAATAGGCAGGCAATTAAAGAAGATAAGACTCTTATGTATGAGGATTGGAAAGAAAATATTCTGCCCCTCATATATTCGGCTTCTCAGTCCCTTGATCCCAGCTCTTTTAGTGTCGAAGAATACTTTGCTGCAAGAAGTCTTATTTCTTCTCGATCTTTCATGATAGATGAATACCATGGCTCTGGGATGGTTCCTTTGGCAGATCTGTAAGTATACCTTCTTAATTTTTAGGATTACTCCACAATCATTTAGGAATGTTAATAGATATCAATTTACTAATATTACGGACTATCTACTATTAAACAGTGTATGAATTACCTAAAATACTTGCCATCCTAGTGAAGGGTGTAGCTTCCATCTCATTTCATTGCTCAAACTCAGAGGTTAAAATTGGTATAGCACATAGCCTTATTTCAAACCTTTTCAATCATGGCATATAGTCAAAACGCCAAAACATTGTGTAAGTTTGTGATTAGGGTCTTCACATTGCTTTACACTATATACTTAGCCTCATTCTTTTTTTCTTTTAATTTTTTTGTAAAAATTCCAGCTTTAATCATAAGACTGGAGCGGAGGATGTACACTTCACCTCTGTATCCCCTAATCAAGAATACGAAGATGATGTTGACAGTGAAAATAGTGATAAGAATGAACTAAGTAAAATTTCTGACTATGATGAGACTGCTTCCACCAGCAGTGAGAATTCATACATTCATAGTGATTCAGATCTCTTGTCAATGCCTGGGGAGGATCCTATGATGTTGCAAATGATTATGGTAAGAGAAGTCAAATCAGGTGATGAGGTTAGTTTCTACTTGTGTCTTGTATTGATTTATTATTGGGATTAACTTCTGCTGAACTTATATTGTTAGCTTCTCCATTTTGTCCCACAATTATTGGTTTTGACGTATAGTGATTATAGGTCTTTTTTTGGGTTAGGGTTGAAGGCTTTTCTTTTATGCTACCCTGTATGAAGATACTTGAGCTAGCAGTTAAGTAGCAATGCCTTTTTGTAAGATGGTAGACACAAGAAAAGCCTGTCTGATTGAATTTTCCTTTAATTTCTTTAATATTTCATTTCATTAACCATAGGAAAAAAGGGTGACGATATCAAACTCTGAACTTCTCTATGTTTTGCATATTTAACAAGTATGGAACCATAAGGAAATCATGCATGTTGGGCATCAAAATGGAAATAATTTTTTGCCTGTTTTCTTTTATAAATAGACCACTCTTTAGAATTTGTTATCAGAATCTTACATACATCTTAAGCTTATTCTGTATATAAAACATAGATATGAACACGGTAACACAGGTCTATACATATTGCACCCTGACTCACACAAGGCAAGTGTTTTTTGTGTCTTACGTCCCAGGAAATCCAAGGATTCTAGTGCATAGAGCATGCTTGCACCTTTACTATGTTAAGTGCTAGGCCAATATCATAATAATTAGATGTGGGCAAATATTTAAACCTTAAAACAGATTATAACAAATTTTCTATATTAGAAAATTATGATTTTATTATCTAAACTATTGTGTATGATTCTTCAAAAAAAAAGTTGCTTCAATATTTGATTGCAATTTTTGTTTTTCTTCTTTAAAATGCAAATGACAATCAAAGATGGCAATAAGTTTTTAGTAATAGTTGTGAGAGGGAAATCACGTTGGCAATATTGATGCTAATCTGCATTATCCTCGAGAACAATTGCATCCCCTAGCAGCCAGTGAAATTTGTATTACAAGGCTAACTGTCCCATGTTCTTCAACTTTTTATGAGTATGTTAATATCACCTATTCTCTTAAAATCTCTCGTCTAGCTTAATTTTTTGCATCCATTGCATTGGACTTGAATATTTGGTCAACTCTCCCCTCGCTTTGGGGAGTAAATGTCATGCATAACCAATTGCCTCGCCAAGTTCTCATAGGGCCCATGGTCAAGCCCATACATTTTTCTAACTAGTGTTTTGTTGGCATGCAGTTGAGGCAAACTTCTATGGACTCCACCTTTAATTAAATATATTTCTACTTCCACATGTTTGGTTTGGTCACGTTGTATTGGATTATGGTCTATTTGTATGGCAGCGTTACTGTCACTGTATAGCTTCTTCGGCTCTTCAAAATTAACCTTCAGATCCTTCAAGATAATCCTCACCCGCATAGTTCATATTACCAATTGCTAGAGCCCAGAATTCTATTTCAGCAATTGTTATATCTATAACATTTTGTTTCTTACACTTGCAGGAAATCAAATTACCTCCAAGATATGTGGGATACCTTAGGTTGACCATCTATCAATAATTGTGTATATTTCCAGTCCTAGATCCAAATAAATCCTCTTTCAGCCAACATGCCTTGATCTTGATTCCTTCAGTATTCAATCTGTGTTGAATTTCTATGTATACCCCTCTTATAGGTCTCTCAAGGAAGATATTCTTCACTTAATATTCATTAGGTTGCTAGTCACTTCAAGTAATATCTAGATTAGGATAGTATTAATTTTTGCCACGTGCAAGTGTTTCAAGTGTTGCTTTAAATCTTTCATCTTGCTATTAATCTTTCAGCTTGTTGGTCTCTCTATATGATTATGACGATTTGATGATTTCTTAACTGTTTTGATAGCACAATTTTACTGATGTTCTTAAATAACTTGTATGATATATGGACAATGATGCTTAATCTCATTGTGTGTGAGCCTATACTTATTTAGTGGTTTGCCCATAAACTTGTTCACCTTTTTCAGATGGTAAAATGTTTAGAGCTTTAATTCGGTGGAAAACTAAAAGATAAATTTGGAGCTTACTTTTGGTATCTTGACATTTTGTCTATTTGAGATCATATATTGTAAAGATATTTGCATATTTTATTTAGTTTGCTTTGTTTTTTTTGAGACTTTAAAGTCGTTTGTGTTGAATTCCAATATCAGATTTGCAATAAGGATGTCTGTTGGCATTTTTATTTGGAAAAATAAGGGCTCTGGATTATCTTGGAACATTGCTCGAGATATTATTGCTTTGGTTTGGGTTGATAACATTCTTTTGCCCAGTTTTGGGGCATGAGAAAAAAGCATATCTACTTTACATATTAGGTGGATTGGTACTTTTTATCTACTGAACATTCATTTCCTGTTCGAGTTCCTACATCCAGCTACATTTTTCTTTTCTTTTTTGCTGGCTTTCTTTTTACAGTGAATCTAAAATTTCTTATCTCAGGTTTTTAACACATATGGGTCGCTTGGCAATGCTGCTTTGCTTCACAGATACGGGTTTACAGAGCCTAATAATCCTTTTGATATCGTGAACATAGATTTGGAATTGGTTCTCAAGTGGGGCTGTTCGCTGTTCTCTAGTCGGCACTGCAGATCAAGGTTGTCCCTTTGGAGAAGATTATATTTGTCTGGAAGTACAAGCGAGGATTCTGAATATTTTGAGATCTCATTTGACGGGGAACCTGAAATGGAACTATTGTCATTATTATACATAATGTTATTGCCAGATGATACATGTCATAAGTTGGATATTACCATTTGCACTGCAGATAAGGTTAATGGAAATATTGGCATGATCTTATCAGAAAAACATGATATTACATGGGACACGAGCTCAAAAATCAGCAAGGAGTTGTTGCTGACAGAAAAAGTTTGCGATGCCCTCTTGGCACTTGCCGACATTCGTGAGAGTTGTTATGGTTCAAATTCGATAGATGAGGATATGGAAGCTTTAAAGAGAAGTTGCATGAAAGAAAGGAAATTGTATCATTCTTTGGTATTACGAACAAGTGAGAGGAGGATCCTTGAGAAACTTAGGACTTATGCTACTGCAGGAGCTCTTCGAAGTCGAACATTTCAGAATGCAAATAAAACCTCTACAAGAAGGAAGAGATTGAAAAAGCATTAAGGTGAAACAATCCATCTTACCTTGCTTGTTTTTATTACAATAAACAGAAGCCACTTTGCCTAGGTTATCACTGCTTAGGTGAAACAGAGTTTGGAAGTAACTTTAGTCTGCCATGCGTTTTTTTCATTATTGGGATAATAGATGAACCGATTGTTGCATTTTTTTTTTATCATTAAAGAAGGCCAAAACAGATATAGCTGCAGTTCCTTTTTATGTTGATAAGGGGCTGGAAGTGGTAGGCCAGTTTTAATTGTTTAAAGCAGGAGTTTGGGCATTGATGAAATAGTTGATGCATAAACAAGTTTTATTCTGATTTTTTTTTCTTTTGGGTAAACTATAATTATGACCACTTAACTATTATCCCTTTTCATTTTGACCACCGGTCTTTTAATTTTGTCAATCAGATTACCTAACTATTTCATTGTTGCCAATTAAGTCACTTGCCATTAACATTTAAATAGTTAAGTGGTCTTATTGACAAAATTGAAAGATTGATGGTCACAATGAAAAGAGCAATAGTTAAGTGGTCATAGGTATAGTTTATTATTTTCATTTTTATATACAATGTCTCATCTACCAATATTTCCCACGAATTCTTTTTATTTATTTATTATTAATATGTGATAAGTACAAGTTAATATATATTCAAAGATAATTCTCATGAATTTTAAATTTTTTTTTATCTCTTATTGTTTTGCGAATAGAAAACTAAAAAAAGACATTTTATCGAAGTAAAATGATATATTATTGGAGGGTCCCATAGAAATGCCCGGTAAGTATGCTATAAAGCTCATATGAAATAGGCCTGTTTATTTGGAGAGTGAGTTCAAATATGATCAAACTCAAGTGTATATAAAGAGTTATTTGCATCATATTTTCCCAAACTATTAACCTTTTTTATATTGGTCTTAAACTTTTGAATATTCTAATAAGGGATGAAATTGGAATGTTCAAAAGTTTAGGGATTAATTTAGAATGAAGATCATAGTTTGGGGATAAAATAGAAATATTTAAAAGTTTGAGGTCTAATTTAGAATGATAGTCATAGTTTAGGGATAAAATTAAAAGTTTATGGACCAATTTAAAATGAGGATTATATTTTGAGAACATGTGATACAAATCAACTCCTATATAAATAATATGATAAGTTATTCGTATGACCGCTTAACTATATTTTCTTTTCATTTTGATCATCAATTTTGAATTTTTGTCAATCAAATTATTTAATTATTTAAGTATGTCAATTAAGTCACTTGTTGTTATCATTGGAGGTGACATAACTTAAAAAATTGGTATAATTATATATTTGATCCTCAATATTTATACATTTTATTAATTTAGTCTTAATTTTAATTCAATTAAATAAGTTTGTTAATATATTGCAACATGTTTAATATACCCATGAAAGCGTGACAGTGTCCCTAGTAAAGGAGATCACAAAATACTTCCATGGAACTCAACAAAGGAATAAGCCCCTCATTTAGGATCTTTATGGGTGTATTTCCCGAAAAATCACCGGTGATCGGTATATTTACCGATCTAACACTGGTCAGATTATATTTCCCGATCTAACACACGTAGCAGTAAAGCGTGTCCCCTGAACCGCGCTATATACTGATTTGGTGTCACGTGGGTTATAGCGCGCCCCCTGCACCGCGCTATACGCCACGTAGGGGTATAGCGCGGATCAGAGGGTGCGCTATACGCCACGTAGGGGTAAATTATATTTAACGCGGTCTTGGTCCGCGCTATATCTTTTATCTGAATAATTACATATAGCGCGGTGCAGGTACCACGCCTTATATGGTTATAAATACCCTCCTCTGCCGGTTAAGTTTCTCACATCTCCTCGCATATCTCCTCTCAACTTATAAATTAATACAACAATTCCGTCAACGAGTAATAATTCTGGCAATCTTCTCATATTTGATTTAGAAGTTCGTGCGATTTTTCGTTATAAGGTAATTTTGTTATAATTTTTTAATTATACTTATTGTTTATTATCATTATTTGAAAAAATATTATACTAATTATTTTCAATTAATTTTTATGTTTGTAAAATTGAAAAGTGGGAGTATACGTCGAAATAGTTTTGCGGTACAGGTAATAATATAAAATTATATTATTTAAATTATTTACGTCGATGTGTAAAAAATTTATTGTGTTATATTTTCGTTCATATATAATTTATTTAATCAGGTTTGTTTCAGTTTTTTTTTTGCAGATATAATATTGCCGCACTTTTAAACTCAAAGAATGACGCGACTTTCAGCTATTGTTTATTATGATGGTGAAATTCGAGAAGATGAAACCGGCGTTGTTTTCGTATCAAATGAGCGTGTTAAAATATCATTCAAGAGAAACATAACTCTTGAGGAGCTGATAACGAATATTTCGAGGAAGATTCATGTTGGAAGTAGTAGAAGAATGTCGTCATTACAGTACAGATTTCCAACATCATTGTTGCCATTAACTTATACAGCATTCGAATTTTCGAACAATGATGATGTTCAAATGATGGTTGAAGCTCAAAGTAATTATTCAGACGCCGCTATTGAGATATATGCACATTTTGTTTAAGTGCGTGCTGTTTGGGGTCAATCTTTAAGCTTACACTATAGGCTGGCTGAACAAGTTAATCAAGTTGACAGCCCGACTACAGTAATGTGTAATGATTTTAATGCCATAATGGGGAGACATTCATCCGTAACTCCTTACGATATGTACCAAGGTAGGTCCACGAACAATCCGTATGGCAACACCGCGTCCAGTTCAAGGGAAAGACATTCATCTGCAAATTTCTTTGACCATATGGAGATGCCATCGACGCAACCATCTGTGTAGTTTCCATTTGACATCATGGCTTCAAGCTCCAGGGGGAGGCATTCGACTGCGAGTTTTTTCGATCTCAATGTCGATATGCCTTCCAGTTCAAGGGGAAGACGTGCAAGTAGTAGGTTCTTCGACCTAAATGTGGAGAGCATGGAGGAACCATAATCTCCACCAGAAGAACCGCTTCGTGAGCCTGGTGCGGATGGTGCTAAGACTGGACTATTCATTCACCAATAATCACCGCAATTCAACTCTGATGATGATGAAGTTCCAGGAAATGTGGCACAAACTAACCCTTCTACACACATGTATGAAGCTGATTATGGTGCAATGTACGGGCCAGAATTTGTGGATATGCCTTATCTCGGTGACTATGGATATTACTCATCAATAAATAATGGCGAGTTATCTTTAGGCATGGAGTTCTCAAGCAAAGAAGAAGCGGTGATGGCTATAAAAAATTACAATATCTGTAATTCTGTTCAGTCCAGAGTCAACCGATCCACGACCAAAAAATATGTATGCTACTGTGCCCGACGCGAAAACGGATGCAATTGGATGGTTCACGCATCGAAAAGGAAGAGGAAAAACAACATATGAGAACTAACAGTATACAACGGTCCTCACACATGTTGTGTTGGAGAGGTCAACGAAGATCATCCCAACTTGGACTCTGAAGTGATATGCCAAGCCATCATGCCCATGGTAAAAGCAAGCTCTCATATAGCTGTTGCAGTGTTGATTTCAGCTATACAATTGCAGTATGGGTACACTGTCTCATATAAAAAAGCTTGGTTGGCAAAACAAAATGCCATTGTCAAACTTCATGGCGAATGAGATGCATCTTACAACGAACTTCCAGGTTGGTTTAGGCTGGTGCAGACGTTGAATCCTGGGACAATTGTGGACTTCGAAACCTCCTATGCATACCATAATGATCGAGTTCTTCATGATCAAAGCCAATTCTACCGGGTTTTTTGGAGTTACCCACAGTGCGTTAATGCTGCCAAATACTGCAAGCATGTGGTCCAGATCGACGGGACTTTCTTGTATGGAAAATACAAGCAAGTTTTATTATTGGCAGTTGTCCAAGATGACAATCGCAACATTCTTCCAGTTGCTTTTGCTCTTGTCGAAGGAGAAGATACAGATTCTTGGGCTTTTTTCCTCCGAAATTTACGTGCACATGTTATCACGAGGGAAAACATTTGTGTCATTTCAGATCGCGGACCTGGGATCAAAGCAGCAATGGAGTCTTTGGGTCCAATGTGGCAACCACTCTTTGTCCAACATAGGTATTGTCTCCGACACATTGCTGCGAACTATCATAGAAGGTACAAGAAGAATGATGAGCGTCAATTAATTGTGCGCATGGGTAAGTGAAAGCAAGTTAGTAAGTTATACATTTTTTGATCATTTTAATTTTGCAAAGAAAGCAAGTTAGTAAGTTATACATTTTTTGATCAGGTTACGAACTACTTCCTCGAACGTTTGAATCAATGTTTCAAGATTTTCAGGCGAAGAACGAGGAAGGATACGATTACATCAGCCTCATCGATAAAGAAATGTGGACGGCCGCATATGATGGTGGATATCGATATGGACACATGACGACCAACTTGGCTGAGGCAATCAATTCAACCTTCAAGGGTGCACGTCACTTACTGTAGCGGCTTTGGTAAAAACTACATATTTTCGTTTAGGGGCGCTTTTTTCGAAGCTCGGGGGACAAGCTCAAACCTGGATGCAAGGCGGTCATGTCTATCACCCTAGATTAGTTGCAGATCTACAGAAAAAAAATTGTTGCATCAAATGGAATGTCTGTAACAAGCTTCTCTAGAAGGCATGGAATGTTTCGTGTCACAGAGTTGTCGCGACCTCTTCAAGGGATTGAAGCTGTGTCGTTAAGAGTAAATATAAGGGACAGAACGTGCGACTGCGGGTTTTTTTAAGCTCTGAAGTATCCATGCTCTCATGTGATAGCATCTTGCTCGCATACACGTAAAGACTATAACCATTTTGTGGATCCCGTATACCTACTATCTGAAGTTTTTAAGGTATAAGAATTTGAGTTTCTCTCCATAGGTAATGACAAAGACCCTGATGAGGTTCAATATTGGCTTCTGATTGTACCAAATCCGAGTTTATTGAGGGAGCGTGGTCGTCCAAAATCCAATCGAATTAATTGCGATATGGATATTCGAGAAAGATCTAGACAAGACATAAGATGTGGCCGTTGTAGAAACCCATGAAACACTAAAAAAACATGTCCACTTCTGTTGTCATCAAGTAACAATTGATGAGGAAATGATGTATTTGTTTATCAAATAATAATTCTTGTATTTTAATTTGCATTTACTTCAAGTTAATGTCATTCGATAATCGCTGATGAAGATTAAAAAAACGAACACAATCATTAA